GTAATCTTTACAGGAGCAGATCACCAGGTTTTCTCCCATGGAGCCACTGGGTGGGTTCAAACTGCTAACCTTTCAGTTAGCAGCCGAGTGTGTAACCACTCCCTCACCAGGGCTCCTTCACAGAGAATTAGAGCCCGGGAAGGGGCCATCATACATACTAGGGAATTTAGGAAGCCACACACACCAGGACAGGACACATGCTCAGCAAAGACCTGAGAAGACCTTAAGTTTCACCTGTGGCTGATCTTAGGCTCAGTGCTTGCAGGAACTAAAGGCTAAGGAGTTTTAAATGGCCTGGCTAAGCACTGAAGGAGTATTCCAACAGTCAATCTGCAAAAGACTGGGAGAGTTTTCTTTTTCTTCCTTTCTTTATTTTTTTCTTGTTGTTGTTGCTTTTTTCTTTTTACCTTTTTTTCCCTCCAAGTATTCAAAGAAATCTCTGTAAAAACACTAACTGACCACTAGCTAAAGGAACAGAGACTTTAGACTCAATACAAAACAAAGCATACAGTCTTTACAAAAAGATTAGAAAAGTCCCTAAACAAACAACTATAAACCAGAGCAAGCAGGAAAAAACAAAACCTGACAAGGCAGAAAAAATCTGAATACCAGAGTTACCCTCATTATATACAAAATGTCCAGTTTTCAACAAAAAGATTACAAAGCATGCAAGGAAACAAGAAATACGGCCCATCATAGGAGAAATTAACAGAAACTTTCTAAGGAAGCACAGACACTGGACTTACTAGAAAAAAAGACTTTAAATCAAGTGTTTAAATATATTCAAAAAGCTAAAGGAAACCATGGACAAAGAGCCAAGAGAAACCAGGAGAACAATGTCTCAACAATTAAAGAATACATCAATAAAGAAATAGAAATTCTGGAGCTGAAAAGTAGAGTAACTGAAATAAAAACTCATTAGTGTTTTAACAGGAGATATGAACCAGAAGAAGAAACAATCAGTGAATTTGAAGATAAATGTCATGGATTGAATTACATCCCCAAAAAAATGTGTATATCAACTTGGCTAGGTCAGGATATCCAGTATTGTATGATTGTCTACCATTTTATCATCTGATGTGATTTCCCTGTGTGTTGTAAATGCTATCACTACGATGTAATAAGATGGAATAGCAGCAGTTATACTGATGAGGTCTACAAGATTAGATAGTGTCTTAAGCCAATCTCTTTTGAGATATAAAAGAGAGAAGCGAGCAGAGAGACATAGGAACCTCATACCACCAAGAAAGTAGTGCCAGGAGCAGAGCTCATCCTTTGGACCTGAGGTTCCTGTGCAGAGAAGCTCCCAGACCGAGGGAAGACTAATGCATGACAAGGACCTTCCTCCAGACTGACAGAAAGAGAAAGCCTTCCCCTGGAGGTGATCCCCTGAATTTGGACTTGTAGCCTACTAGACTGTGAGACAGTAAACTTCTCTTCGTGAAAGCCATCCACTTGTGGTATTTCTGTTATAACAGCACTAGATAACTAATAATCAACTGCAATTATGCTCTCTGAGGAGGAGAAAAAAGAATGAAGAAAAATGAACAGCTCCCATAAGACCTGTGGGACACCATCATGTGTATTAGCATATGCATAATGGGTGTCAGAGAAGGACACGAGAAAAGAGGGTAAAATAATATTTGAAGAAATAATTATCAAAACTATTTGCGAAAAGACATAATCTACACATTCAAGGACTTCAACAAACTCCATGTAGGATAAACTCAAGCGTCCCACAACGAATTAAATTATAATCAAACTGTTGAAAGTAAAAAAAAAAAAAGAATCTTGAAAGCAGCAGAGAGAAGCATTTGTCACATACAAGGTTTCTTCAATGTAAGATTCACAGCCGAAACCCCAGCAGAAACTATGGAGTCCAGAGGCAGCAGAATGAGATACTTAAAGTGCTGAAAGAAAAAACTGTCAAGCAAGAAATCTATATAAGGTAAAACTCCTTCAAAATGAAAGAGAAATTAAGACATTCCCAGATAAACAAAAGCTGAGAGACATGGTCAGTAGTAGTCCTGCCCTATAAGGAATGCTAAAGGAAGTTCTTCAGGCTGAAATGAAAAGACACTGGACAGTAACTTGAAGTGGTACAAAGAAATAAAGAACACCGGTAAAGGTAACTACATAGGTAAATACAAAGCAAGTATTACTGTGTTTTTAGTTTATAACTCCTTTTTGTTTTTTACATACAACAGCAGCAAAAAAGAATTATCAATTTCTATTAAGAGGTATTATATAAAGATGCAATTAGTGACAAAACAACACAGAGGGAAGGGACAAAGCTGTACAGGTGCAGAGTTTAATACATAATCAACCAGTAAACGAATAATAATGAATTTTAGAGAAAGGGAGAACAAATTTCCAACCTGAGCCATTGGATGGCTAATGAAGCCATTAACCAAAGTAGGGATTGAACAGGAAGAACAGGTCAACAGAGAACATAATAAATTCCATCATGGACAAGTTGGGCTTGAAGTTTCTGTGGATCAACTGAGAGAACATATCCAATTGGAAAAAGAGAATAAAAGCTCAGAACGGAGAATAGAGTTAGAGATAAAGAATATAAAGGTGTCGAACTACAGGTATACAGTGAAGCTGTGGAGATGGTTTACTACACTTACCATTACAACGCACAGTGATTTTTAAAAAGCCGAGGACAGAATCGGAGAGACCGTATCATGCAAAAAATGAGCTGAAAAAGAACTAACAAGGAAACTGAGAAGCTGTCAAAGGGTCACAGAGGGAGAAAACTAGAAGACATTGGTGTAACCGAACCCAATAGGAACTTTTAGTTAAATTTGGTTACAAAGTTCAACTAAAATGAGAATTAAGTCACTTCTATTGGATTTGATAATAAGGAGGCCAATAGGGATCATAACAAAATGAGTTACAATGTCGACATGATGGTAGTCAGCCTGTAAAGAACTGAGGCATTAACGTGTAAGCAGATGGCAGTGAATGGGAGAAATAGGTTAGTAGCAAGAAGTCAAAAAAAGATTTCTGCAATTCAGGCATTTTCTTTCACTTACAAATTCTCAATTCATTTAAAAGATTTGATTCCACATATGATGGACCATAGCCATCTGAAAGACACTACCAAGTGCTTGTATTTACAGCGATATAACCTCCTACAATAAAATACCCAACTGATACTTTAGCATAAAAGTAGTGTTAGAAAAAGAGATGAAGAAAACAATAACATAGAAAATGCAAAACACAAAGCACTAAATATAATAAAAATACTTATCAATAATTTATCAATGTATCAATATTTATCAATATAAATAAATAATCACTCACCAGCTGAAAGACAAACTATTCAAATGGACTTTTGAATCCAACAACTCCACACACAGGTGTTTATGCAAGAAAATATTTGTCTACAAAAGCCTTATAGACCAATGTTCACAGCAGCTTTAGCCAAAACATGGAAACAATCCAAATGTTCATCAAGAGGTGAATGGATAAGCAAACTGTGGTACAGCCATACAATGGGATACCACTCAGCAATAAGAAGAGACAAACTACTGATATACACACACAACAACATGGATGAATCTCAAAAATTTTGCTCAGCAAAAGCCAAATACAAAAGGGCATAGTATATGATTCCATTTGTATGTAAGTCTATAAAAGGCAAAAATAATATGTATTGTCATAAGGCAATTCAGTGTTTGCCTGGGGCTGGGGTGGGGTGAGGGAAATTGACTGGGTAGGGGCACAAGGGAGCCTCACAGGGTGATGAAAATGTTTCCAACGTTGTGGTGGTAGTTACACATATGTACACACTTACCAAAACTCAGTGAATTGTACATTTTAAACAGGTACATTTCACTGTATGTAAATCAAACTTCAATAAAGTTGATTTAAAAAATCAATCCATACAAACACTTGTTTATGAGCAATGCATCTAGAATATAAGGACACAATTCATCGGTAACACAGAACAGATTTTATTGCTCTTTTATTACCCAACAATTTTTTAAAAAATGTTCTTTTCACATATATGATTTGCAAAAATCGACCAATAAATTTCAAATAATGTATGTGTGTATATAATTTATATTACAGAGACTGTATTCTGTAACATATAATTTTGTTGAAAATTAATAACAAAAATATAACTCCCCAAATCTAATTTATGTGTAATTTTCAAAATACTTCTTTGATCCATGAGTTTACAAAGTAGTCATAATGGAAACCAGAAAATACTTACAATTGAATAATTAACATATTACTAATCAAAATCTATAGGATACAGCTAAATAAGTATTTAGAGAGAAATGTATAACCTTAAAGACTCACAGAAGACTGAATATTAATGAGCTTACTGCCCAATTTAAATTAGAAAAAGAACAGGAATACAGTAATAGAAAAAAAATAATAAAGAATAGAAATTAGTGAAATAGAAAACAAAGATATAATGGAGAGAATCCACAAAGCTAAACTCTAGTTCTTCAAAAAGACTTAAAACGTTGACAACCAAAAAACCAAACCCATTGCCAGCAAGTCGATTCCAACTTATAGTGACCCTATAGGACAGAGTAGAACCATCTCATAAGGTTTCCAAGCAGCAACTGGTGGATTCAAACTGCCGACCTTTTGGTTAGCAGCCATAGCTCTTAACCACTGTGCCACCGGGGCTCCAAAAACCCCCTGATAAATCTGCTCAAGAAAAAACAACCAAATGCATAAATACATAATATTGAGAATGGAAAAGGGGATTAATTACAGAAACAACAGAGCTTTAGGTAACTTTGAGTGCAGAAAAACCCACTGCCGTTGAGTCGATTCCGACTCATAGTGACCCTATAGGACAGATCAGAACTGCCCCATAGGGTTTCCAAGGAGCAGCTGGTGGATCGAACTGCCAACCTTTTTTTGGTTAGCAGCGGTAGCTCTTAACCAATGCATGACCAGGGATCCAATCAGGGTACAAATGTTTGATTATTACAGATTTGCCACCACAGCCATTTGTTTTTACTCACCGCCAGCAGAAGACACATTTATTTGCACATGCCAGGCTAGGGGTGGTTTCCATGCAGCGATGGCTTTCGATGCCATAAAATGTATGTTTATAGCAACCTCCTCTCCCTCGGAGCATTGACTGTGACAAGTGAAAAACAAATGATAATATGAACAAAATCCTCAAAGCACAGAAAGAAGACACCAAGGCATCATCTTTCAAAAGAAATCATGTGTTTCATAACCATAAATACTCCTCCTGGTATCTGCATGATTCAGAAAATTAACATTATAGCATTATAATGTTTTGAGAGTGCTTTTGATTTTCTAAGACCCAATGCAATGAACATATGAATCATTAATTCTAAAAGCTCTATAGGGAAGATTATTGATGCTTTGATTTTCTAATCCATACAACTGCCTCAAATAATATTAGTCTAATAATATACGCAGGTGGTCTCCAACTTATGACGTATTCAAGTTACAACAAACCACATCTACAACCATCCGTTTTTACGACCACCTGTTTTTTTTTTGTACGTCTTGTTAGTAATATGCACCACACACAATGTTGTAGTGTGTAATTTGCTGATGTCATCATATCTGTAAATTTATATATAATGTTTCCAACCCCCAAAGAAAAATAAAAATCGGATTTATAAACATACTGACAATAAAAGGCAATAATAATGAAAAACAAAGTATTCAACTTATATCAGAATCGACTTAATGACAGAGTGGTGGGAACGAACTCTAAGTCAGGGACTACCTGTAATGCCAAGGGATGGATAAGACAGGCTTATAGAAAATTGTGGCAGAGCTTTGAAGGAGCATCTCTGCTTTGAATAAGAGAGAGTGGGTATGAAATAATATCATGCAGCATATTCTATGTCAACTGAATGAGTAGAATTCAAACATATCGAAATTGTTGGGGAGACAAGAAGGGTGTATATAAAAGACAAAATAATACACCTTCTCACATATCAACTCATTATCTGACATTTCACATGTGCGACAATAGTAAAAAATCTATTTTGTACATTAATGACCTACATTTAGCAGTAATAAACAATGAGGTGCTGGCTTTGATGGTTAAGGTTATGTGTCAACTTGGCTGGGCTATGATTCTCAGTGGTTTGGCAGTTATATAATGATGTAATTTGGCAGTTATGTAATAATGTGATTTGGCAGTTATATAATGATGCAGTAATTCTCCATTTTGTGATCTGATGTGGTCATCATCCATTTTCAAGTAAAACCAATTTCACATAACGACGTGGACTTTGGAACCTAACCATGTTGATAAGTGAGAAGGTGTAAAGATAATTTTCCCTCTAGAGCAAAGATCAGGCAGACTGACAGTCAATTATAAAAGATGCAGGTTTCTTATGCTTGGGGTTACTCGCCTGTAACTCATGTGCAGATGTTACCTGGCCTTCCCAATGCTGCTTTATGGGAACCGGGGCTCAAGAACTAGAGCAAATGCTAACATTCTCATTACTGTTGTTTTGGTAATAAACTGTCCTTTGTCTCTGACCAAGAGTATCATGTCTTCCATCAGTACCCATGACACTGTGGCAGGCTAACTTGTTAGCATGCACATACAGTAAAATCTCAGATTCCTCAGTGTGATGCAGTAAGTTCCTTTATATGGCCTTTGCCCAAGTTCCTCGGAAAAACAGCTTGAGAGATTTTTCCATTCAGTCCTGAGGCATTACCTTTGAGCTGGTTTCTACCACACAGGGTTTGTTACTTTTGTCCAGGTTCACTGATTCATTGACATTTCCTGGGAAAGCTATAAACAACTATATTTTTTTCTGACCCTGGGCTGCACCCTGCCCTGCGACTGGTATGCACCTTGCAGGGATTTGTCAACACACCTATGCAAATTAAATGAAGGTGACCTCTACAAATGAGGTGATTATAGCATACTATGACTTATTCATTGGAAACATCTTTTTTCAACAACTTAAAATGGTGACTATACACATGGACCTTGCCAGATGGAATACACAGGAATCAAATCGACTACATCTGTGGAAAGAGACAACAGAGAAGCTCAATATCATCAGTCAGAACAAGGCCAGGGGCCAACTGCAGAACAGACCATCAATTGCTCATATGCAAGTTCAAGTTGAAGCTGAAGAAAATTAAAAGAAGTTGATGAGAGCCAAAGTACAACCTTGACTATATCCCACCTGAATTTAGAGACCATCTCAAAAATAGATTTGAAACATTGAACACTAATGACTGAAGACTACACAAGCTGTGGAATGACATCAAGGACATCATACACGAAGAAAGCAAAAGGACATTAAAAAGACAGGAAAGAAAGAAATGACCAAAATGGATGCCAGAAGAGACTCTGAAACTTGCTCTTGAAAGTAGAGTAAAAAAAGCAAAAGGAAGAAATAGTGAACTAAAATACCTAAACAGAAGATTTCAAAGGGTGGCTGAAGAAGACAAAGTAAGATATTATAAGGAAACATGCAAAAAGACCCAGAGTTAGAAAATCAAAAGGGAAGAACACACTCAGCATTTCTCAAGATGAAAGAACTGAACACAGACTCAAGTTGCAATATGGAAGGATTCTATGAGCAAAAAATTGAACGACACACAAAGCATCAAAAGAAGATGGAAGGAATACACATAGCCACTGTAACAAAAAGAATTAGTCAACGTTCAACCATTTCAGGAGGTAGCATGTTCAGGAACCAATGGTATTGAGGAAGAAGTCCAGGCTGCTCTGAAGGTACTGGTAAAAAAACAAGGCTCCAGGAATTGACAAGACCAACTGATATGTTTCTCAAATGAATGCAACTCTGGAAGAGCTCACTCATCTATGGCAAGAAATTTGGAAAACAGCTACTGGCCAACTGACTGGAAGAGATCCATATCTGTGCCCATTCCAAAGAAAGGTGATCCAACAGAACAAAGAAATTATCTAACAGTATCATTAATATCACACACAAGTAAAATTATGCTGAAGATAATTCAAAAACAGTTATAGCAGTACATCAACAGGGAACTGCCAGAAATTCAAGCCTGATTCAGAAGAGGACGTGGAACAGGGGATATCACTGCTGATGTCAGATGGATCTTGGCCAAAAGCAGAGAATGCCAGAAAGATGTTTACCTGTGTTTTACTGACCATGCAAAGGCATTCAGAACACTCAATTGTGCTCATGCGGAACCTGTACAAAAGCAAAAGGCAGTGGTTTTAACAGAAAAAAGGGATACTGCATGGTTGAAAATCTGAAAAGCTGTGCCTCAAGGCTGTGTCCTTTCACAGCACATACTCAATCTGAATGCTGAACAAATAATCCAAAAAACTGTACTATATGAAGAAGAGCGCAGCATCAGGATTGGAGGAAGACTAAGAACCTGTGATATACAAATGACACAACCTTATTTGCTAAAAGTGAAGAGGACTTGAAGCATTTCCTGATGGAGATCAATGGCTACAGTCTACTATATGGATTATGCCTTAACATAAAGAAAACAAAAATTCTCACAACTTGATCAATACGCAATCAACATCATGATAAACAGAGAAAATATTGAAGTTGACAAGGATTTCATTTTACTCGGATCTGCAATCAATGCCCAAGGAAGCAGCAGTCAAGAAATCAAACGTATTGCACTGGGCAAATCTGCAGCAAAAGGCCTCTTTTAAGTATTAAAAAGCAAACATGTCACCTTCAGAACTAGGGTGGGCCTGACATATGCCATGATATTTTCAATTGCCTCATATGTATGGGAAAGCTAGACAATGAATAAGGAAAACTGAAGAAGAATTGATGTGTTTGAATTGATACATCTAGTGTTGGCAAAGAATACTGAAAATACCATGTATTGCCAGAAGAACAAACAAATCTATCTTGGAAGAAGTACAGCCAGAATGCTTCTCAGAAGCGAGAATGAGACTTTGTGTCTCACATACTTTGGACATGTTATCAGGAGGAACGAGTCCCTGGAGAAGGACATCGTGTTTGGTAAAGTAGAAGGTCAGCAAAAAAGAGGAAGACCCTCAATGAGATGCACTGACACAGTGGGTGCATCAGTGGGCTCAAACATAGCAATGATTGTGAGGATGGCACAGGACTGGGTAGTGCTTCGTTCTGTTGTGCATACGGTTGATAGGAGTTGGAACTGCCTCAACAGCACCTAACAACAAACAGCCAACTATGCAAATGAGGTGTCTGTGGTCTACCAAGAGAGGATTGGTCAGTTTGCAGCCCCCACTGGGAGAGGCAATGCCTTGAAATTGACAGGGAGTTGTGTATATATATGCAGCCTGCCCCACAGAGGTTTCTGGAGACAGAGGTGGTGAAAACAGGTGAAACTATACACTACAGACTAGTAAGTAAACACAATTAAGCCCGCTCGTACCTTGCTTATTGGGTAATCCATCCCTGGATGTCCTGTAGTGAAGGGATATTTTGCCTACATACTTCGTGATCTAGATCCTGAGTTGCAGCCTGTTGATCCTGATTCCATGTTGTACCATTTGTTAATAAACTATTTCACTGTAAGTACAGACCTTGAGTTTTGTGAGATATTGCAACAAACTGCTGAACCCAAACAGGGGAGTAAAGAGTGCGAAGGGGAGAGCAAGTGACCAGTGTCAGAGACTGAGTGGTACAGCAGCTTGGAGAATGTGGACGTCTGGGATATATATGACCTCTCCCTAAAAGGAACTGGCTTTGTGCTGATTCTTATATTTGAAATTATCCGTACATTCGATTTGTGAGAGGGAGATCGGGAACTCAATCTAGAGGTCAATACACTAGAGCCTGTGGGCCAAATTCAGTTCACCATCTGTTTTGGTAAGAAAAGTTTAGTTGGAATTCAGCCACCCCCATTCCTTTACAGACTGTCTGTGGCTGCTTATGTGTTACCATGACAGAGATGAGTAGTTGTGACAGAGACCAGGTGGTGACTCCAATTGCAGCTGATGTTCCAGATGTGGTTTCCTTGCTTGAGCAAATTAATACAGTTCCTGGTAGCTGGTATGCCGCTACTGATATGGCTAATGCCTTTTTCTCTATACTTGTTTCGAAGGACCACCAGAAACAGTTTGCCTTCAGCTGGCAGGGCCAGTGATACACCTTCACTGTCCTACCTCAGAGGTATATCAGC